ACTGGTGTCCCTACTGCCCTTCTGACCACTGTTGTCCCTACTGCCCTTCTGACCACTGGTGTTCCTACTGCCCTTCTGACCACTGGTGTTCCTACTGCCCTTCTGACCACTGGTGTCCCTGCTGCCCTTCTGACTACTGGTGTCCCGGCTGCCGTACTGACCACTGGTGTCCCTACTGCTCTTCTGACCACTGGTGTCCCTGCTGCCCTTCTGACCACTGGTGTCTCTGCTTCCTTTCTGACCACTGGTGTTCCTACTGCCCTTCTGACCACTGGTGTCCCTACTGCCCTTCTGACCACTGGTGTCCCTACTGCCCTTCTGACCACTGGTGTCCCTACTGCCCTTCTGACCACTGGTGTCCCTACTGCCCTTCTGACCACTGGTGTCCCTACTGCCCTTCTGACCACTGGTGTCCCTGCTGCCCTTCTGACTGCTGGTGTCCCGGCTGCCGTACTGACCACTGGTGTCCCTGCTTTCCTTCTGACCACTGGTGTCCCTACTGCCCTTCTGACCACTGGTGTCCCTACTGCCCTTCTGACCACTGGTGTTCCTACTGCTATATATACCTTTTAAATGCACAAAATTTACATTGTGGTAATACGTTTTGTCAGGGGCCCGCTCCACGTATGTATTTAAATAAATAGTTTGAAAATTGAATTTGCATATATTATTTGAAATTTTGATTTATGTATTTTTGTGATAACGCAAAAATATTGTTATCATCATTATCAACCTTAATATACAATTCCAACTGGAATTATTATTCGGCTTCACTATTATTGCCTTTTGAGTAGTATAACTTCAAAATTTATATATCATAATTATTGAAATATTGGCGAGGGATTGTGGGGGGGGGGAGTATATTTTATATGACGGTTTGGCAATAACAATGTAATTGTGGTCATTAACAGCACAAATCAGATTTATCCTCTGTTTCATCCACAGCATGTGTTGCTGCTGACCAGAGACCTCTGCTTCAACCACAGCATGTGTTGCTGCTGACCAGAGACCTCTGTTTCAACCACAGCATGTGTTGCTGCTGACCAGAGACCTCTGCTTCAACCACAGCATGTGTTGCTGCTGACCAGAGACCTCTGCTTCAACCACAGCATGTGTTGCTGCTGACCAGAGACCTCTGCTTCAACCACAGCATGTGTTGCTGCTGACCAGAGACCTCTGTTTCAACCACAGCATGTGTTGCTGAGAGAGAGAGAGAGAGAGAGAGAGAGAGAGAGAGAGAGAGAGAGAGAGAGAGAGAGAGAGAGAGAGAGAGAGAGAGAGAGAGAGAGAGAGAGAGAGAGGAGAGGAGAGAGAGAGAGAGAGAGAGAGAGAGAGAGAGAGAGAGAGAGAGAGAGAGAGAGAGAGAGAGAGAGAGAGAGAGAGAGAGAGAGAGAGAGAGAGAGAGAGAGAGAGAGAGAGAGTGTGTGTGTGTGTGTGTGTGTGTGTGTGTGTGTGTGTGTGTGTGTGTGTGTGTGTGTGTGTGTGTGTGTGTGTGTGTGTGTGTGTGTGTGTGTGTGTGTGTGTGTGTGTGTACGAGTACATTAATATATTCACTAGCGACAAGGGCTCCTGGTGAATGCAATCAGTTTTGTAAGATTTGTTGTTAAAACTGCCACAACATAAACTACCATAACATCCTGGCCGCGCTCACGTGAATGTTCTGTTTGACTCTTCTTATTCATGTTCAGTGTTGTGTAGTTGTCTGAGTGTGTTGTTACTGCTCGAGTGACGTTTCTTGTTAACACAGAGCACTTGTAATGTCTACTGTTGCCTCTAGACACCTGCACAGTTATTTTCTACGGATAGAACATCTTTCTCTACCGTGGACGTCATTCCTGTCCTCTTCCAGATTTGTGTTTCCGTGACAAAACCTATAATGAATGACATGTTTGTCCCTCAAGACTCCAACAATATTGGCGCGTCCCCTTCTCCAACACCAACAATATTGGCGCGTCCCCTTCTCCAACACCAACAATATTGGCGCGTCCCCTTCTCCTACACCAACAATATTAGCGCGTCCCCTTCTCCAACACCAACAATATTGGCGCGTCCCCTTCTCCAACACCAACAATATTAGCGCGTCCCCTTCTCCAACACCAACAATATTGGCGCGTCCCCTTCTCCAACACCAACAATATTGGCGCGTCCCCTTCTTCAACACCAACAATATTGGCGCGTCCCCTTCTCCAACACCAACAATATTAGCGCGTCCCCTTCTCCAACACCAACAATATTGGCGCGTCCCCTTCTCCAACACCAACAATATTAGCGCGTCCCCTTCTCCAACACCAACAATATTGGCGCGTCCCCTTCTCCAACACCAACAATATTGGCGCGTCCCCTTCTCCAACTCCAACAATATTGGCGCGTCCCCTTCTCCAACACCAACAATATTGGCGCGTCCCCTTCTCCAACACCAACAATATGAGGTGTTTTTCCTCCAACACTCAAAGGATGTAGAGGTCCCGGAACAGATCTATGTGGCACTTCCAATGCTAATGTTCCCGTATTTGACTGTGCTCGCTGTGTTCCACGTGCTCCCTGTGTTCCACGTGCTCCCTGTGTTCCACGTGCTTCCCGTGTTCCACGTGCTCCCTGTGTTCCACATGCTTCCCGTGTTCCACGTGCTCCCTGTGCTCCACGTGCTTCCCGTGTTCCACGTGCTCCCTGTGCTCCACGTGCTTCCCGTGTTCCACGTGCTCGCTGTGTTCCACGTGCTCCCTGTGTTCCACGTGCTTCCCGTGTTCCACGTGCTCCCTGTGTTCCACGTGCTTCCCGTGTTCCATGTGCTCCCTGTGTTCCACGTGCTTCCCGTGTTCCACGTGCCCCCTGTGTTCCACGTATCCCCTGTGTTCCACGTGCTCGCTGTGTTCCACGTGCCCCCTGTGTTCCACGTATCCCCTGTGTTCCATGTGCTCGCTGTGTTCCACGTGCCCCCTGTGTTCCACGTGCTCCCTGTGTTCCACGTGCTCCCTGTGTTCCACGTGCTCGCTGTGTTCCACGTGCTCCCTGTGTTCCACGTGCTCCCTGTGTTCCACGTGCTTCCCGTGTTCCACGTGCCCCCTGTGTTCCACGTATCCCCTGTGTTCCACGTGCTCGCTGTGTTCCACGTTCTTCCTGTGTTCCACGTGCCCCCTGTGTTCCATGTATCCCCTGTGTTCCACGTGCTCGCTGTGTTCCACGTGCTTCCCGTGTTCCACGTGCCCCCTGTGTTCCACGTGCTTCCCGTGTTCCACGTGCTCCCTGTGTTCCACGTGCTTCCCGTGTTCCACGTGCTCCCTGTGTTCCACGTGCCCCCTGTGTTCCACGTATCCCCTGTGTTCCACGTGCTCGCTGTGTTCCACGTGCCCCCTGTGTTCCACGTATCCCCTGTGTTCCATGTGCTCGCTGTGTTCCACGTGCCCCCTGTGTTCCACGTGCTCCCTGTGTTCCACGTGCTCGCTGTGTTCCACGTGCTCGCTGTGTTCCACGTGCTCCCTTTGTTCCACGTGCCCCCTGTGTTCCACGTGCTCCCTGTGTTCCACGTGCTCGCTGTGTTCCACGTGCTCGCTGTGTTCCACGTGCTCCCTGTGTTCCACGTGCTCCCTGTGTTCCACGTGCTCGTTGTGTTCCACGTGCTCGCTGTGTTCCACGTGCTCGCTGTGTTCCACGTGCTCGCTGTGTTCCACGTGCTCCCTGTGTTCCTCGTGCTCGCTGTGTTCCACGTGTTCCCTGTGTTCCACGTGCTCCCTGTGTTCCACGTGCTCGCTGTGTTCCACGTGCTCCCTGTGTTCCACGTGCTCGCCATGTTCCATGTGCTCGCCCTGTTCCACGTGCTCCCTGTGTTCCACGTGCTCCCTGTGTTCCACGTGCTCCCTGTGTTCCACGTGCTCCCTGTGTTCCACGTGCTCGCTGTGTTCCACGTGCTCCCTGTGTTCCACGTGCTCCCTGTGTTCCACGTGCTCGCTGTGTTCCACGTGCTCGCTGTGTTCCACGTGCTCCCTGTGTTCCACGTGCTCCCTGTGTTCCACGTGCTCGCTGTGTTCCACGTGCTCCCTGTGTTCCACGTGCTCGCCATGTTCCACGTGCTCGCTGTGTTCCACGTGCTCGCTGTGTTCCACGTGCTCGCCATGTTCCACGTGCTCCCTGTGTTCCACGTGCTCCCTGTGTTCCACGTGCTCGCTGTGTTCCACGTGCTCCCTGTGTTCCACGTGCTCGCCATGTTCCACGTGCTCGGTGTGTTCCACGTGCTCCCTGTGTTCCACGTGTTCGCTGTGTTCCACGTGCTCGCTGTGTTCCACGTGCTCCCTGTGTTCCACGTGCTCCCTGTGTTCCACGTGCTCCCTGTGTTCCACGTGTTCGCTGTGTTCCACGTGCTCCCTGTGTTCCACGTGCTCCCTGTGTTCCACGTGCTCGCTGTGTTCCACGTGCTCGCTGTGTTCCACGTGCTCCCTGTGTTCCTCGTGCTCGCTGTGTTCCACGTGTTCCCTGTGTTCCACGTGCTCCCTGTGTTCCACGTGCTCACTGTGTTCCACGTGCTCCCTGTGTTCCACGTGCTCGCCATGTTCCATGTGCTCGCCATGTTCCACGTGCTCCCTGTGTTCCACGTGCTCCCTGTGTTCCACGTGCTCCCTGTGTTCCACGTGCTCCCTGTGTTCCACGTGCTCGCCATGTTCCACGTGCTCGCTGTGTTCCACGTGCTCGCTGTGTTCCACGTGCTCGCCATGTTCCACGTGCTCGCTGTGTTCCACGTGCTCCCTGTGTTCCACGTGCTCCCTGTGTTCCACGTGCTCGCCATGTTCCACGTGCTCGCTGTGTTCCACGTGCTCGCTGTGTTCCACGTGCTCCCTGTGTTCCTCGTGCTCGCTGTGTTCCACGTGCTCCCTGTGTTCCACGTGCTCCCTGTGTTCCACGTGCTCCCTGTGTTCCACGTGCTCGCTGTGTTCCACGTGTAATAAACATGTCTTCGTCCTGAGCCCCATTCAGTACCAAGCATCTTAATAAATTCGTAATGTGGAACAGTATCAAACGTTTTATGTAAGCTAAAGAATATAATATTTTTATCTTCCTCAGTTATGTGCGAAAATAACGAGGGCGCTTTTTCAACCAAGAACGTTTTTAATAAAGCGCTGTCTTAAATCATTTTTAAGTCCTTTATTTTAAAAATGTGTAGAGATGGTAATTGCTTGTATCGCTACAAGTAAGTTTTACGCATTATAAATTATGCTCAGCTATATTGATATTCTTGTGGTCTTCCCTTTTCCTATTTACAAAATAGGTAACTTGCGTTAAACTATCGGCCAATTAGCCTAACGTCTATTATAGGAAAGTTACTTGAATCGATAATTTAAAATACTAATCGTCTTCACTTTGAAAAACATAAATTAATAAATGATTCACAACATGGTTTTACAAATAGCCGTTCATGTTTAACGACTTTACTATCATTTTACTCCAGCATAGTTGAGATAGTTGATAGTGGTAACGTTTGTGATGTTGTGTACCTTGATTCTAGCAAAGCTTTTGATGCAGTGTCACATGAAAGACTGATTAAAAAGATAGAGGTTCATGGTATTGGGGGTGCTATATTAAGTTGGATTAGGGCATAGCTGTACCAAAGGAAACAGAGAGTTAGAATAAATAGGGTTAAGTCAGAGTGGGAAAATGTTGTAAGTGGAGTACCTCAAGGCTCTGTCCTGGGACCTCTGTTATTCATAATATATATAAATTATTTAGATTCAGGTTTGAGCAGAAATATTTGCAAATTTGCCGATGATACAAAAATCGGGAGGTTATCTTGAGGTTATCTTGAGACGATTTCGGGGCTTTAGTGTCCTGCGGCCCGGTCCTCGACCAGGCCTCCACCCCCCAGGAAGCAGCCCGTGACAGCTGACTAACACGCAGGTACCTATTTTACTGCTAGGTAACAGGGGTATAGGGTGAAAAAAACTCTGCCCATTGTTTCTTGCCGGCGCCCGGGATTTAACCCAGGACCACAGGATCATAAGTCCAGCGTGCTGTCCGCTCGGCCGACCGGCTCCCCGAAATAAAGGGGAAATAAACACGGAAAAAGGCTCGCTATCACTTCAAGACGATCTAAATATGGTTTTGAAATGGTCAAAATATTGACAGATGCAGTTTAATGCTGACAAATGTCAGGTTTTGAAGTTAGGTAATGAGGATAGAGTTACAAGATACGAGCTAGATGGTGTTGAGATTGCGAAGTCGGATAAAACTAAGATAAGAAGATAAAACTAAAAAAATCAGTGCAATGATGTTCGTAATAAGGCAAATAGGACACTGAGATTTATTAATCGTAGCGTTAGTAATGAGACACCTGGTGTTCTTTAGCTATATCTTGCTCTGGTTAGGCCCCATTTAGATTATGCAGTTCAATTTTGGTCGCTGTACTATAGAATGGATATAAGTTCACTAGAGCGCGTCCAGCATAGGATGACAAAGATAATCCCCCACGTTAGAAATCTGTCATATGAAGAAAGATTGACAAAGTTTAAATTACATTCTCTAGACAGGCAAACAATTAGGTGTGACATGATAGAGGTGTACAAGTGGATGAATGGTCATAACAACAGGGGATATTGGTAGGGTGTTGAAAGTTTCAAGACAAGGCAAAACACGAAACAATGGGTATAAATTGGATAAGTTTAGATTTAGGAATGACCTGGTTAAAAACTGGTTCGGTAACAGGGTTGTTGATTTGTGGAACCAATTACCGTGTAACGTGGTGGAGGTGGGGTCCCTTGATTGTTTCTAATGTTTGTTGGACATGTATATGAGTGGTGTTGGGTGGTAAATAGGTCATAAATAGAAGCTACCTCGTACGGTCCAATAGGCCTTCTGCAGTTACCTTTATTCTTATGTTCTTATCAGGATCAGGCTTACATGGGCCATCAGGACTATCCTCACATGGGCGTGGTGTCCTATTGTACCTACCAATATTGATAATATCTCCCTTCTAATCTCATGTATTAATTTTGACGTTACATTTTATTGACTTGTCATTTTGTCGTTTTATAAAAATACCCAAAATTGTAGTTCAACACGTGGACAGTGGTGAGTTGGGAGAGGTTGCCAGTGTGGTCAGGTTGTGAGAACAAACACAAGGTCAGGGTGTATTCACGTGAGCAGTGAACGCGAGGAGTTCAAACAATCCGGCATCAGGCTGCAAGAAGAGTGTTTACTCTGACAATACCGGCAAGGTCTGCGTGCAGGCGAAGTGCATCACGGCAAGACTGACTCCACACGACTGATCACGTTAGTGCCACAAGTGCACTCACGCCTCTGGCTGTGGTGCTGATGCACTCACACGAACTCATCTTACAAGTGTGTCAGCCACTGACTTGTAATACACTCTTGGGTTCTTGGACAACCACAAGTCAAACACAGGTCAGCATAACATCTGAAGAACTCAATTTAATGTGAACATTAAGAATCATTACCAGTAACGGTAAAATTACTGCCAGGGATGTAGGCACAGTCCAAGTACAGAGTGACGGGTACCCACGCAGAGCACACACTGGCACTAGTAATCCATCACCAACGTTCTCATTTTGAAACCAAACATTCTGCAGATTTATACAAAGCGAATGTGACGTTCCTGTTTTTTGTTACTCCGAGAGGGGTTTATATGAATGTATAATGTTGGTATTGTTGAGTTGACCGGTGGAGATAGTGAACAGCAGCTTCACTGATCAGTTAGGGTTGTAAGGGGGTCACACGTATTGTGTGTGCTCGCTGAATATTTGTACATTATATCTATTGACTATTTACCAGTAGGTCAGCAGAGGATTAGTTCTGCTTCAGACTGGGCAAGGTAAATCACTTATCTCGACCCCAATACTTGTTTAACAGATTTGGTAGATGTTCACCCCAGCACTGAGACACCTAATGAACTGTTATCATATATACCAGAGGTCCCGGTAGTACAGTTGGTTTCGTTCTCGACGTATAATAGAGAATTTCGGGTTCGAATCTCGGGCGGGACAGAAATGGTCGGGCACATTTCCTTTCACATAATGTCTCTGTTCATGTAGCAGTAGGTACCCAGGAGTTAGTCAGCTTGTTGCGGGGTTGCATCCTGGGCGGGGTCAGTAGTTCGGCCTGGGTGTGGGGGGGAGCGACCTCGATATAAGTCTACTGTGTATAGATACACTCTGGCTTCCTGTCCCACGATACAATGAATTATTATTGAGTTATATATCCACGCAAGAACGTTGACCTCTATAAATATTATGTTAACAATGATTATTGATAGTACTGCAGTGTACGCTTAAACTTAACGTATGACTTCCCAGCACCTCCCTTTCTATCTTTTTCATCCATCTCTTTCTCACCCTCGTTCTCTTTCTCACCCTCGTTCTCTTTCTCTCACCCTCCTTCTCTTTCTCATCCGCCTTCTCTTTCTCATCCGCCTTCTCTTTCTCACCCTCCTTCTCTTTCTCACCCTCCTTCTCTTTCTCACACCCTTCTCTTTCTCTCACCCTCCTTCTCTTTCTCACCCTCGTTCTCTTTCTCTCACCTTCCTTCTCTTTCTCATCCGCCTTCTCTTTCTCACCCTCCTTCTCTTTCTCATCCACCTCTTTCTCACCATCCTTCTCTTTCTCGCCCTCCTTCTCTTTCTCACCCTCCTTCTCTTTCTCACCCTCCTTCTCTTTCTCTCACCCTCCTTCTCTTTCTCACCCTCCTTCTCTTTCTCACCCTCGTTCTCTTTCTCACCCCCTTCTCTTTCTCTCACCCTCCTTCTCTTTCTCATCCACCTCTTTTTCACCCTCCTTCTCTTTCTCACCCCCTTCTCTTTCTCTCACCCTCCTTCTCTTTCTCACCCTCGTTCTCTTTCTCTCACCCTCCTTCTTTTTCTCATCCGCCTTCTCTTTCTCATCCACCTCTTTCTCACCCTCCTTCTCTTTCTCACCCTCCTTCTCTTTCTCACCCTCCTTCTCTTTCTCACCCTCCTTCTCTTTCTCATCCTCCTTCTCTTTCTCACCCCCTTCTCTTTCTCTCACCCTCCTTCTCTTTCTCACCCTCGTTCTCTTTCTCTCACCCTCCTTCTCTTTCTCATCCGCCTTCTCTTTCTCACCCTCCTTCTCTTTCTCATCCACCTCTTTCTCACCCTCCTTCTCTTTCTCGCCCTCCTTCTCTTTCTCACCCTCCTTCTCTTTCTCACCCTCCTTCTCTTTCTCACCCCCTTCTCTTTCTCTCACCCTCCTTCTCTTTCTCACCCTCGTTCTCTTTCTCTCACCCTCCTTCTCTTTCTGATCCATCTCTTTCTCACCCTCCTTCTCTTTCTCATCCACCTCTTTCTCACCCTCCTTCTCTTTCTCACCTTCCTTCTCTTTCTCGCCCTCCTTCTCTTTCTCACCCTCCTTCTCTTTCTCACCCTCCTTCTCTTTCTCACCTTCCTTCTCTTTCTCGCCCTCCTTCTCTTTCTCGCCCTCCTTCTCTTTCTCACCCTCCTTCTCTTTCTCACCTTCCTTCTCTTTCTCGCCCTCCTTCTCTTTCTCGCCCTCCTTCTCTTTCTCGCCCTCCTTCTCTTTCTCGCCCTCCTTCTCTTTCTCACCCTCCTTCTCTTTCTCACTCTCCTTCTCTTTCTCACCTTCCTTCTCTTTCTCACCCTCCTTCTCTTTCTCACCCTCCTTCTCTTTCTCGCCCTCCTTCTCTTTCTCGCCCTCCTTCTCTTTCTCACCCTCCTTCTCTTTCTCGCCCTCCTTCTCTTTCTCGCCCTCCTTCTCTTTCTCACCCTCCTTCTCTTTCTCACCCTCCTTCTCTTTCTCACCTTCCTTCTCTTTCTCACCCTCCTTCTCTTTCTCACCCTCCTTCTCTTTCTCGCCCTCCTTCTCTTTCTCGCCCTCCTTCTCTTTCTCACCCTCCTTCTCTTTCTCGCCCTCCTTCTCTTTCTCGCCCTCCTTCTCTTTCTCACCCTCCTTCTCTTTCTCACCCTCCTTCTCTTTCTCACCCTCCTTCT